ATATCCTTGTCCCAGTACCCTTGTACCCCCCCTTCAGATACTGGAAAGCTGCAATGAGGTCTTCTCGGAGCCTTCTTCCAGAGCTTCCAGAGCTTCCAGAGAAGCTGTGGATGGCCCATCCCTGGAAGTGTCCAAGGCCAGGCTGGATGAGGCTTGGAGCAACCTGGTCTAGTGCAAGGTGTCCCTGCCCATGTCAGAGGGGTTGGAACTAGATGAACTTTAAGGTCCCTTCCAACCCAAACTATTCTATGATTCATTCTGACCTTTCAACTTAACCAGTGAGATTCATTTTATCTAAGTTCCTAAAATAGTAGAAGTTGCAGGGTCTTCCTGAGAGTCTTGTCCTTGTAGTCAGCTAAGAGAAACAGGAACACTCAGAGAAAGATCAGATTCGAACAGTTTGAGAAAGCCATTATTGGGAAGAAGGCTTGGGAGGTGGGGTTGGTCTTCCTACATTGACTATAAGGGACTTACAAAGAAACTAGATGAAATGAGTCATTCATCTTATAGATACCTAAAAGAGGTCAGGTGAAGGTCATCTCATCGCTAGCCAGTTACGGTAGCCTCCAAATCCATGAACTAATTTACCTGTTTGTTTATTTGGCTCCATAATTCTCTGTGTAACTCAAACTTTTTACCTCATCAAACAGATTAAACTGACCATGGGTCGTCCTATGTTAATATATTACTGAAGAAAAAGGAAGTAAAAGTATTCAAGAAAATATTCTAATTAATCTTTAAAATCTGATACTGAAACTTAGACGTGAATAATCATGTATCATTTCTTTCAGAAAAAAACAGTTTGAAGTCAGTACTAGGTAAGAATACATTTTTTTCTGGTCCATTTAATACTTCTAGGGTGCATCCCCAAAAGACAAAATGAGATACAGCTTTCTATATTAAGTACTTCTGAATGTATCTGTACCCTTTAACATACAATTTAATGACCCCCTTTCAAGTTTGAATATAAATTGAAAAATGATCCATTTTCCAATAACTTGTTGGAACTTTAGTAGTTACGGACAAAGAAATAATTTAACAGCTATCTCATCATTTTTAATTTCTAAATTAAATCAACTGGCCACCTAGTAATGTTGTGGGGTTTTTTTTTTTTTTCTTTCCTTACTTTCTCCTTGTTTTGTTTGTTGATCAATTTAGGATCTGAGAAGAAAACAAACAAAGGAGGTAAATACAGTTCTACAGTTAATACATTGTTAATCAACATTCACAAGTAGGTATATATGAGAGAATGAAAACAAGCTACTTCATAAAAAAAAAGCATAGCAGCTTGCCTTTCTTGTTACGTGTATTTCATTTTTAGTCACTGCTAAAAAATATTATTTAGTGTGGCTCTACTCGGAGGTTTGTGATACTTTTCTGCCTCTGCATAATCTCTCTGCCTGGAGCCTTGCTGACTGTACTGAGATTTCTTGAAGCTCTGACCTCCTGCTCCTGTTCTTTTTAACTTTCTGGTCAAATTATTCAAGCGGCTGTAACTAGCATCACAAAGCCAAAAATGTATGGCAGGGACTCTCAATCCTGTGAAATATTGGCTTGGATGTCCAGCTACATTTACAATAAGTACTAAGAAAAATGCCATGTCATGCTTCCCCCTCTCTTCCTGCTTCGTCCCTCAGCTGAGATACCTGCCTGGATGGAACACATACAGCGAAGACCCTCCTAGAGGTCAACTCCTTTTGGATGAGTAGACCTCCTGAATGCCAGGCAGGAGATTTTAGGGCATCTCAAATAACACTAGACGGCTTGTGCCTATGAATAGACATTAAGCAAATAACATTAGACAATTCCTGCCACAATAAGGAGGATAACTGTCAGTGCCATTAAGATTGATCAGCAATACTGCTAAATGCACCTAGAGAGCTCAAAAACAGACACCTGCATTTAGTCACCTAAGCCTGTATGTCAAACTATTCTGACTATGTTCATCTGGGTTGAAAAATCAGCTGGTTATACTAGGATGCCTAAATTCTGCTGAGATGC